GCCAAATGCAATGACCCAACCATCGTGTTCGTGAAACCATGTTCCCACTTCAGTGACGATTTCCTCACGTCCCCCACGAAGTGGTGGGTGAGCTCCAGCATCTTTTCTGCCGTGAGCCCCCCCACATTCCATGAGGCAACTCTGAGTTGTTGAGGAGTATCCCCTCGTTCCGTGCGGTGAAACTTGCCGTTCAGCTGGTCCTTGGCTCACTGGAGTTCCGCTTTGCGGGGCTCCCAGGCTGCCTCCACCTCCTGCTTGGTCCTCTTCATAGCTTTCGCTAATGTAGTCAATGTAGTCAGGTCGATCCATCCCGCCCCCGCCGGCTCCGCTCCCTTTGGCTTCTCCGCTGTAGCACTGCAGGCCTTGAGCGTGTCCATCCAGACGGTGCCGGTAGCAAACTCAACTTCCATGTTCCCCTTGTTGCCGCCCATCTCTAATATTGTGCGTTTCACCTTCCCGGCAAGCTTCGCTCTGCGACGGCGTTCGGGACTTTGGGAGAGTGCGATCCAGAGCTTTTTCATCCCCCCCTGTGCATCTTTCCCTGTCGTCACGTTTGCATTGCGTACTCGTTGAATTGCTTGTTGTACTCGGCCTCGACGTTCTTCTTCTGTCTCCATTCCCCTCTGCCTTATGGGGATAATAGCATATCCCCGGCGCAGGCCGGGAACAAACATATCCCCACATCGAGCGGCACGTCAAGTCGTCGTAGTAGGTCTTTGGCTGCTTGTGGCGTCTCTGATCTGGGTGCCATCCCCCCAGTATGAGTGCTGGTTGCTTTCCTCACCCGTCGGTGTCTGCTGTGCTCCCAGCTGTCGAGGTTTGTGGCCTCTGCTCCAGTTGTTCAAGACGTTGCTGGATGGCTTTTTGTTCATCTTGGACTCGCCCGATGGCCTTTGCTTGCTCGTCATAGTTGTCGGTGATCTTTGTTAGCATCCCTATGGTTCTTTCCATCTGTATCGTGACGCCCTTCTCCACACTGTCCACACGGCTTCTCATGTCCCGGAAGTCCCCCTGCATTCTTTCCAGGTTCTCTGCCAAGTGGTGGCGGTCCGCTTGCCTCTCTGCAGCCAGTACTTCCTTGAGCATGGAAGGGGTGAGCGGCTGCTCCTGAACTCTCCCCCTTTTCTGTGGGGATCCATCGTGTTGTTCTTCTGCTTGTGCGTCTTCTTCCATGCGTTCAGCAGCAGACTGCTGCCCCAAAGCCATGTCCAGAAGGTTTCGTTCTCACTGCCGTCGTCGAAGTGTCACGGACAGGTAATTGAGAAAGCCCCCCTCCCAGCGGCGATGTTACGGCGGATCGGGCTGTCGATGACTGCGGCCTGTAGGTTCGCCGATCCCCCGCCCGCGGAAGTATCACAAAGTCCCTAAGGAACAGCGCAAGGATCACCTGCTGCTTCGTTCCCGACTACGTCGCGGTCCCGAGCGGCAATGGTGTAGACACGTAGGGCGGCACAGAGGTAGGTGAGCTCGCGGAGTCACAATGTGAGGGATCGGTCACACTCTCTCCCCCTCGCTCTAACCCCAGTTTGAGGCTTTCCTGACTTTCTGGGCTCAGCCTTGAACCACTCACGGCTTGAGCCAAAATGGCTATACTCTCTCTCTCTCTCTCTCTCTCTCTCTCTCTCTCTCTGCAGATAACGTCGAACGCCTGCCGCTCTGAGCCATGCGCGTCGCTGGCTTCCTTCTGAACGTCCTTGCATGAAAGGCCTCTGCCAAATTGCATAATTGCTTCTGCTGCTGACTCCGGCAAAATCAAGCCGGCTGGTGAACGAGCGGTGGGTGCGCATGAACAGCACATGAACGATCGGAGGACTGCTGCACAAGTGTGGCAACAATGCATCTTTGCCGCAAGTCTATCGTTCTCTGATTCTTTGCATTCAGCATTTTAGGATGCCTCTGGTCCAGCAACTACTTGACATGTTTTTGCTAGCAACATGCCTGTGAGACACATCGGTCCACCGGGACATGTTGTAAACAAACTGCTCTCTGGGCTGGGCCATCGACGCAAAGCAATGCCACCTTAGACCGTCGCCATGGGCGAAGGGCATCATTGTGAATGCTTTGGAGATCTTTGGAGGCTTCGTGCAGCGTGCAGATGTGTGCAGCGTGCATCGTTCTACTGATTCTCTGCTTTGAACTGAGCACTAGCCGAGTCCCGGGTTCAGATGTAACCGAACTGGCGCTGTCGGGCCAAGACCCGAGCGGCCGGGTCAGTCCTGCTCCATCGGCGTCCTGTGCATCGTCTTGAGTCTTCACCAACGAACTCCTTAGAGAGTGTTGCCACGGTCTGTAGTTCTTAGCGCTGCACTCCCCCTTCGGCTCCGTCTTCGACCTTCGAAGAACATCGCCGAAGCACTTTTATACCATGACAAGGACCGTATATAGGGACGTAGTGGCATCTCGCATTCCTTTGGCATTGATTGCTCTATGCCACCGTGTCCCTTTGCATCGCACACAGAAGCACACACCACGCAGATGACCGTGCATGACCGGGCCTCGTCTTGATCTCCAATTGATCCCATTGGCTGTGCAGCAAAAACTTCTCGGGTTCTGACGGCAATCCGCTTGCCGTCTCTGCCCTGGCAGAAGTGAGCAAATAAGGATAGTCAAGCAGAACGGGGATAGACAGGTGCTGCTCATTGCTGCTCATCAGCAAATGTAGAACATCGTCAACCCGCTTGTCTGAATTTTGCATTGAACAGGGGGATGAAGCAAGAGGAGGCTTGAAACCAGAGCCTCAACAAGAAACCAGAGCCTCAACAAGAAACCAGAGCCTCAACAAGCAAGATAGTGCACACATTCAAAGGTTTGAACGGGTGATGCTGACCGATTACAAAGGAAGGCTAAATTTGTAAACGATTATCTTTCAGCCCCGCATGCGGCGCAACATCCACGAAAGACATTCAAAACTTCATCCGGCCACCTCTGTATGTGCCATTGCCACATGGTTCCAAGCCAAGAAGGCACCAGAACTGAGGCAGCGGTCTTGAGCACAACATGGCAACAAACATCAGCTGTGGCCAGTCTGTATGTAGAAGCCAGCGAGAAGCCGCTCCTGAACGGGGCTACTGGAATCGGTGCTGCGGCTTCTTTTGCTACCTGCATTGAATTTCTGCCATCCAGCCATATCATCTATTGGCTAACGAACTTGGTGGCTCCGCCATGTGCAGGGCAACAAGCCGGAATCCAGTGAAGTGCAATCCTGGCCATTGCGAGGACGTCCCGCAAATCTTGCAAGCCGTGGCAACTTGCTTCCACCTCAAACTTTGGATGAATGCCACAGGCACGATGCCTGCTCCTTGCAAGAGCCCAGGGCAAAGTGTGGACATGCTCCAAGTCGGTTGGAGGTGCTCCGCGTGCATGAGCTGTAATCATGTCCGCGCCTCAATAATTTCCTTCTCTGACAATTCTCCGGACAATAATCCAGGTCTCATCTCGCATGTACACTCAAAGACTTGTTCTATTGAGTTGTCAGTCAGAGTCCAAAAAACTACGTGCCACCATTGGGCACCGCTTCGGAAGGGTGACACATCTGGGGAAGGGCATGAGATGCAATGACGTTGTCGTCGGATGGGCTGGGTTGAGTTTAAGACATGCTTTGACATGCAGTGCGGTCCACTCCACATCTCAGCGGCCTGTCGATGCTAACATCTGGTAACGAGGTACGGGATCCTTGTGGCACGGAATCGGCTTGAGACTTTGAAAATCGCACAGAACACTCTCATCCTGTTCTTGCAGCTGAGCAGCTACGAAACTCAGCGAGCAGTGGGCCAGAAGGTCTCAGCGACTATGCTTGAGTGTTCTTCGAGATGTGCGAATCGAGACTTGTACTTTGGAAGCAGCTTTACAGAAATTCTGTTGGTTTGTTGGCGAAATAAGACAGAGAGGAAGCATTGGCATCCAAAGGCGGCCCCAGCATGCTGTCGTGCTTTCGACTCTGATGTTCAACCTCCTAGCTTAGCTCTTAGGTCAACGTTACATCGGTTTTATATCGAGACAGGTACCAGTCTGCTTCTGGTGCATGGTAGAGGTGTCAAACGCGGCTCCAGAACTACCGGCACTACCATCAGAAGACAACTGAAGAAACAAGGCAACAAAATGACGAACTCAAAACGTCGGCGTTGCCGGCTAATAAGTCACATTGCTGAAATGCCATCAAGGTGCGGTCCCTGCACGAGTGGCATTTCCAGTCACCGGCAGTTTCCTTTGGATCAAGCAATATATGCGGGTAAACTATGTCCAACAGCCGCCAGAAGGGAGAGTTGTCTGCTTGGGACGCACAAGGCCGCAGGATCCCGTTGTGTCTGTCTCTGACCGAAGTACTCATCTGCGGGAAATTAGACTGGCTATGCATCTTGCAGCCATCGCAGCTGTCGCTGTCGCAGAAGAGCCAAGCTCCGAAGAAGCTCCTCGAAAGGTGACTCTCGCGAGTCTACATAAGCTATCGAGCATGGTCCACACTTTCAGACTCATTCACAGCATTTGCTCGTGCTTCAACCAGAAGTGAATAGCGACGGAGGACGCCGCGCGAGAAAGCTGTGCTTACGTCTTCGCAGCTCCTCCTCTATGCCTTTGTCCCCGCCTCCACTGCTAGCAGAGCCGAAACCTTCCTCTCTGTCCCCGGCTCTTTGTTTCAATCTTCGCCACAATCACGACATTCGGGGCAATCCCCCCCGGCGTGTCCGTAGTTTGCTTTACCGAGCACTACGAGGACGACTGCCACGAAACGGCTATCCCAACATGCAGCCATCCCTCTCGGTATCCTCAACATCGAAATGCTCGCGAAACGTCCTCTGCTGTGCAACCGTTTCAGTAGAGAGGTACCGCAGGCGTCACGAACCGTTGTTCATCCGGGAAGCTGAAGTAAACAAACTGATTTTGCGATCCCACCCGCCTCATTCGTGATTTTTCGCAACAACCCAGGCAGCAGCGCCAAAGGATCCAAAGGGCTGCCCACAAGCAACAACACCAAGAACCAAGGACACCACGTACAAAAACAGTCAAGCTTGTTCGAGAAACTTGCTGAACACATCTTCCTTCACACGGCCCGACTCCTCTTTCTCTGAGGAGATCTGCGAAGCCTGCATATGAGATCTCAAGCTGCGCAATATATTGATCAAGCTGTGCAAGCAAACAGCTCTTGTCGCCTGCATCCGATTCAATTAGAACGAGCATGTGAGATCACCACAGAGCACGTCCACCTGGCCTGATGTGCGTACTCCAAGGCAAGGTCGTGTGCTCTGTCCTGTGCACGTGCAAGTCAGCAGTGCCGACTGCGGCCACATGCAGAAGCTTGCAAGCAGGATCTGGCGTCCTGTAGCTGCACAGTTTTTTCGTGTTGTCGCTCTTTTTCTCGTAACCTGAGCTGTCGTTGGACTCTTGTTCGGCGGCTATCCACAATATGTTTTCGACACATGTAGCAGAACATAAGATGTTATGGTGGAGCAGGCCGATGTGAACCAAACCCCCGTGTCAGTGTCGGCGCGCGACTCCTTCATCTCCTGCTGGGACTCCATGGTTTCCTGCAAAGCAAGCTGGCGGTCCAGCTCCACTGCGCGCCTCGGCTGCAATTGTGGCGAGGCCAGCTGAAGCGTGAAGGCCACAAGCATTGCTTGGGAGGCTCAGTGTAGACCCAGCCAGCTCTTTGCGTTCGAGAGACTGCAGCTGAAGCTTCCAGTGGGCGTTGTTGATGCCTTCGGCCAGTTGAGCCTGCACCGCTTTTAAAGGTCTATAACGGATGCTTTTAAACGTCACATCGTCACTGTCTGCTCCGCTGAAGCGTTGTGGGAACACATGCTGCATCCTGCCTGGACATGTTTTGACAGGCAAGACTACATGGGAGATCGTGGACGAAGTTGTGCCCAAAGCTGCAAGATCATCAAGCCTTGATCTGTTCGATCTCATCTTTCCGCGCGGCTTGCTTCCATTCACGCTTGAACACCTGGTACTCCTTGCGTGGTGAGGTTTCGCAGAGGCCCAATCACGAAACCATGGATTTTGCCGCCCTGTCCTTGGATTGAAGTAGCTCCTGCACGCGCTGCTCTCGAGTCTTCTCCTCGACAAAGTCTTTCCTCGAGCCAGAGAAAATCACAGATGACACTACGTTCTGCCATCGAGCCAACAGCATTTGGCGTGCATCCGTGGGCAGCCCCTGTCAAATTGAACTGGGCATGTTGTGAAACCCGACTCTTCACAGAGGTTTCTGCAAGCTGCGTCTCAAATACCGATGGAAACGACATGAACGATCCAGACCGTAGCTGTCTAACTCGGCGTAGATGCATGATCAATGTTTTCTGTCCGCATGGAAGCACATCTAGCAAAACAAAGGCAGCGTGAATAGCATGTAAAGTCTCGAACGAGATGACAATTTGACGCATCAGTCTATACTTTACTGAAACATCTGTTATAGAAGAGGGCCAGTCCAAGACACATCTCCTTGGCCTGACGATCTCTCCATTCCATGATCAGCCGGGCCTGCCGTACACTCACTTTGGAACGGTGGATGGCAAGAGAGGACCAATCAACTGCTCGCCTCTTCCCTCCGTTCTTCCTCGGTCTGCCGTCGCTCTTCACGCTGTAGGCCCCACTTCAGCTGCGACTCCAAAGATTTGATTTGCCTGACCTCCGGGCACGGGCAGTGCTGATGCAAGATGCTGAAGCTTAGGGTTCTGCGCAGAGACTGGAACATCTGGAACCGCCTCCCTCTTCTCCTGGTCCAATCGACTTCGCATCGCTGCAAAGTCTTCTGCAGTCGGCAACGTGGCAGAGCTCAGCGATGAGATCTGGCTCTGGCCTGATTTCCACCCCTGGAATTGGTGCCGGAACGTCACGCGTGAGCCAGGGTATTGAAAGAGTGAACGGACATCATTCTTGTGACTCTCGTGATGGCAAGGTGTGATCAGGCTTAGTTTACATATCAGCTGTAGCCTCATATTGCCTTCATTCATAAGGTGAGGGCTTCAGGGCTTCTCACTCGGGCCTGGCTAACATTCCTCAGGAATATGGACCTACATGCTGGAAAGTGTTCACGGTTCGAGAAACTTCGAGAGGGCTGAGGAGTTGGATGACACAAGCATGTCCCGACTGGCGTAGAGTGGCATAGCTGCGGACAAATGAGGCTGACAAAAGAGCTTCTAAGTCACACCTGCTACAAATGTGGACTGCTGCCGAAGAAGCTGCTACTCAACGGTGCAATGTCGCCGGTTGAGCGAGGCTGACCAGCCTGAACAGCACAATTTCCAGAATGATCGAGCCGGAGACTCATAGGAATGTGGGGGTTGGTTTTCCTCTCTCCGTAACCGAAGCAAGACCTCAGCAAATTCTGTTTAGGAATTCATCGAAAATCTTGCGAAAATGCAAGGTTTAACATATGTTCTAGCCGAAGGTAAGTTCAACCATTGTCAAAGCATGTCTCAGCAGAGAACACAACAGCAACGGCTAGGAATTGTGAGGCAAAGATCGGATGTGGAATAACAAGCCTGAGTCGACAAGCCTTGTCGTCAACTCTAAGCTGCAAGGCTTCTGCAGTCAGCCAGTCGGAGTGCAAGGTCGAGCCGTATCGGCAGTCAAGGGTCTCGTCTGGCGGATCTGTTTCTACACGCTTTGCATCCTAGTTAAGTTAGACAGGCCTGAAACCAGGATACACGATCAGCGTCGCAGCTACAGCTTTTTGGGTCAATCATGAGCACAGCAAGGAGGCTTTATTCGGGTAACCTGGGCTTGCAGGGACGCCATTTACACACATTTTTGAACGGCGCATGAGATGCTGGAGACTGAGCGACGTTGTCACCACTGTGCCGGCATCGTTTCAGTGCCGGCAGCCTGAACACCCAGATACATGTTATATGGATCTTCGATTACGCCGAGGAAGCCTTCGCTGGTGCGTCTGTGCCGTTTTTTAGCACGTCGGTAATCGCGCGAAAGCCATGAAACACCCCAAGACCGAAAGCCTCAAGTGTGCAAACTTGAAAAGGTTCAAATTCCACACACCTTGCCTGTATGAGTAGAGGCAACATCGCTAAAGATAATGTGTGCGTTCTCTCGCCTCTGCCTCATCTTTGGGCTTGGGCTTTGGCAGTGGCGAGGTCGACTTGCGAATTGCTTGCCTCTCGTGACGTGTGACAGAGAATACTTGCGATGTGAGGTAATGCCATGGATGCCACAGCAAGTGATCCTTTCTGGCCAAGAACAGTGTCGTGGTTGTAGCTGCCCGACCGATGAGCACATCAGCCGATAGCACTGCGTCTGATCCGAGTGTCCTTGTGCGGGGCTGCGGAGACCTCGCAGAGGACGCAGCCTCATCATGGCAAAAGGTCGAAGCTGCTATTTGGTGTCGCAGCATGTTCGAACTCCGTTGTTGATTTGATGACTTTTAGCTTCACCGTACGTTCAATTTTGGTCAGCACCATCAAGACTTATAAGAAGGCTTTCACAGTCTGTCGACCCTGCCCTCAAGACGAAGGTATGGCATGGAAGGCTTTGCCACATCCTGGGAGAGCCACATGCTGCACCACCACAGCTAGACAGACAGCCAGCCAAACAGAAAATACAAACGAGAGAGAGCGAGACGGAGAGGGAGAGAAAAGATCCTTCCCAATCCTCGTCTTTGCGAGCTTCAATGTATGTACGTCTGCCGAAGCACATCTGCCATGCTCGGCCAGTACACCTGACCTTCTTCAGTCTCGTGTGCATTCTGCACTATTCCTGGCAAGCTGCGATCCGCGTGGATGACGGCTTTGTGGCTGAAAGTCCTGATGTTGGTGAAGGGCTGCTTCTGCGTGGACTTGCACCTGCCAGCTCTGTACAATCGGCAGAAGAGGCGAGCAGCAATCGTTGGCATGCCTGGAACTGACACTCGGGAACGTGTGTGCGCAGGCTTGCAAGTTGCAAGCCCAGACCACGACCTGCAATCCAGTATGCTTTCCCAGCCAGGTCAAACAGCAACTGCAGAGTCAGAAATGCAGGCCAACACTTTTTGGTTGCCAGGGCTAGTGCGCGCTAAAGCCCGATCTCGACGAGCAGGGCGAGGTACTCATCGATGCCGTCGAAGAAGTTGACGTCTTTGACCAAGTCGTGATGCCTTAATCGCATGAACGCTGGAGTGGTCAGACTTGGCCTGCTCACCGGGTTTCTGGCGCGCCGTATCGCTTGTGGTTGTCGTAGCAGTGGATGGCTTGTGTGGTAGTTTGGGAGATAGGGATCTGGCAAAACATTCGATTAATCATCGCAAAGAAGAAATCCGACTTGCCATCACGTGCCTTGCCTCTTCTGCTTCGGTGCGTTCCGGGCCTCGCGGACCTGGACCTCGCGCTGTGGCTCATGTGGGCGCTCTGAGCTCGAAGGGGCGATCGTGGAGGCGACAAAAGTCGACGGGGCGATCGGCTGAAGATTCCAGTCTGGAGAGCCAGGTGCAGAGCGAGGGTAGGCCGGGATTCGCTCACTCTCGGCGGTCCCGACTTTCCCGGCGACGCTTTTGGCACTGGCCCCCGCCGGCAGCGAGGCTGCGAAGTTTAAGGCAATTGTCAGCCAGTCATACCTCAACTGCACCATCTGCAGCCGGGCACAAAGACATAAACGATCGTCAAAGCTACTAGTAGTGGGAAACCGTCAAACATCCTTGACTTACCGAGGGCCATCCCAGCTACAAGTGGACAGCGGCCTCATGAACTTGAGAAAGCCCCGCTCCTGCACTTGGGACGTTGCTCCAGGCCTGCTCTGCTTGCAGTATCTCAGTCTCCAGTATCTGCCCACGCTGCAATGCAAAGGGAAATTTCCGCAAGGCACTCACAAAGTGGCCAGGCTTTAGGAGTACTCGACGTGCTTCTTCCCAGGTTGTTGGTGGAGGCGAGGGATCCAGATCAACACCAGCATAGTCGCAGTTCACAAGTTGCAGCACAGCGACAACCACAGCCTCGACTGGCCTGGGAACCTCCACTAAGCCTCGGAGTCCCACCACAGAGCGAACCGTGACACGCTCCAGTGCGTCTGCGAGATCCGACTGCAAATCACCGCTGTCCACTTGTCGGATGGGTGCCGAAGCTCGAAGTGAGCCCTCCTTCGCCGTGAGCAAGGCCTTCCGTCTCGCCTCCAGACCAGCCTCCAGGGCCTCGACCGCATCGAAGCGACGATCTTCATTAGACTTCGATCGCAACCGCGACCCCAGAAGGCTCATCTCCTCTACAAGCGTCCGGGCACGCCTCTGACGGGCATGCTCGGCGCCGTCGCCTTGCAAGAATGCAATGCGGACATGCGAAGAAATCCACAACAAAAAACTCTTTGCTTTATTTTGCTCCTAAGGAGCTGCTGTCGTAGACCATTCGCTCGGAGAGTCTTCGAAGCCGCTCCTAGCTCGCACACGCTTAGCCTACAACTTCAGCAGCTGCCCGCCTCAAAAAGGGGTCCTCCTCGCAAAGAACATCGATGGGTCGCATGGTCCGGCTCATGACCTTCGGGCGAAAGACATTGCGCAAACTGGGAAGTGTCTGGAAAGTGTGTTGCCGCAGAGAGGGGACCTCGGCTGCTTCAAATCGGAGCGCTACACTGCGGGAACGCGAACCATTCTGGCACAGAAGCGGTCCAAAGCTGAGCCTGACAGCTGCATCAGACTGGCACATTCGGAGTATCCGCTGAAGCCAGTTTGAGTCTTGAGTTCTGTAGGACGGCACATGCAGTCAGGAGAAGCCAAGACGTCAGGAGCTTTCCAAAGCCTAGTCTCCAGCCAGTGTGCGTAACAAAGACGAAGAGAAACTCCCTCGAACGCAGTTGTGTGCAGCTGGCTTTCCCGCAACTCCAACTTTGTCAAGCTCAGTTGACAAGTTTGCCACGCTTTGTTTCAAGATGTTTCGAGCAGCTGAGTAGCGTTTGCCGATTGATGTCGAACACCTTCAACAAATCCTGCTGACCACCAGCACGAAGCTGCTGCATGCTTCGTTGCAGGCGAAGGACACAAACGCAAAGCATGGCAGGGAGCATGCTAAAACGCCACACACAGTGCGCGTTCCGGGCACGCTAGTTTCCGGTGTACGCACGAAGCATCATGAAATATCATGAAGCTTCTGGGCTTTGGAAAGTGCGCCGCTCCTCAGATATGCCCAACTGCTGTGTCGGAAAGTGCGTCACTTCGTAGACATGCCCAACTGCTGTGTTGGACAGTGCGTCGCTCCGGAAATATGCCCGTCTGCCGTGTGCACATTTTCCTGCCACTGCCGGAGGGCTGCGTTTATGTAGCAATGTAAGTGAGCACGCATCACCAGACTAACGACCTGCACAAGGAGGCAGCATCCTGACATATCCTGAACAAGACTCTTCGGTCCGGTAGGATGTGCGAGTCCGTGTAGTAATTCCATGCCATCGTAACTGGGGTAATAAGCGCCCGCGCACGACACGTCCACACGCGCACATGCCAACACAAGCACACGTGCACAAGCGCAGGGATCCGCTCGCGCATACAGGCACACACATACACAAACCCATAACTCTTTCATACACACACGCAAACACGCACACACCTCATTATTCCTTGCACTTTCAGGATGGAACTTTAGAAGTCTGTAATCTCGTTGCTCAGCTGTCTCGTTTTGGGGCGTCCTGCACGCTCACTCTAAGAGCTCCCGAATGTTGGCTTTTCCAAATCTTGTGCAGCAGGCAGAAGGCATCACTGTACAGTCAGCGGTTCTTCGCAGCCCTCGCCATAAAAGACCAAGCAAGGCAAGTCCCATTCGGTTCCTGCAACCTCAGCTTGGTCTATCTTGGCATGCGCCATTGCAGCACCATGGGGTCTGAAAAAGGGGATGCGACGGGGGGGGATGCCATGGCTACGTAAGCGGTTCTGGAGGCAAAGGTGGTCATGACAAATGCGAAACAACCAATAAACATCAAGCCCCAAATTTGAATAATTGAATTTACTTCACCTATATCTCGGAGTTATCTTGAGTTTTGTTGGATTCATGCTTGCCATTGTACATCGGGTGTGTCTTGACTCTGCTGTGCTTGTTTTGTTTTGGCAGGCGTCAGGTCACCGCAAACTTATGTACGGTTGATTTCTAGACATGGCATCCCCGCCTCTCCCCACTGTCGATATCTGCCGATTCCGTGAAACCGAACTTGGAAACTTGCTTCTGCGGTGCTGAGCCTGCGCAGCAGAGCGGCCCAGATTCAGTATGAGATGCAGTCATGGACGCAAGAGATTTTCCTTAGTTCAAAGTGCAAGTATAGGGTCAGCCTGGTCCCAGTTTCCAGTGCGTCGACGCAAGACTTGCGCGTAAACCACCGTCATTGCCCTGGAGCATCGATTAGTCTTGGGATGTCTTGGGGCCCTGCAGCAGGAAGCACGTTTGAAGTCATTTCGCGCGCAGACTCCTTCAGAGCAGAACGGTCAGGGCACTTCGCAGGGCAAAGCTAGCTGATGATGCATTTCTGAATATCAACCTGCCAAGCCGTTTAGCAAACATTCGGCTGTTGCCACATGTGCTGTGCAGGTCCTCTAGGATGCGCTGCAGCTCAGCCTGTGCTTCTTACATCTTCTTACGAAGTGCAAATCGCAAAAGGCAGAAAGTACAAGGACAAGTTTGGAAGCAAACGTACTATTCCTGCACTTCCGACTCGGAATACCCCGCAAGTCAAAGTCAAAGCAACACTTTCGAGACGTTACGCGTAAGGGCCTACTGTTGGGTGCATGGCTCCGCCTAATACTGTGAGGTTTGGAAATTGAAATGAGCCCCACAGCATGCAGCTGCAAAAGCCGCCTCGTAGCAGTCTTCGCCGGCTTCTCGTGCTGACTCTTCGAGAGCACGGCGCAGCATGGCCTACGAAACCAAGACGAGCTGTCACGCTGTTTTGCTTAATGCTTAGTTTGTCAAACCAGAACCAAAACACAATTTGGCAACGTGCTCGCGGAAGGTTTTCTGCAGAAGACCAAGCCCAACTGCCCGAGTGCAGGCGATGTGAAACAGGAACCCAAAGAGAACTGTCGCTCGAGGATGTGCTCATGATGCAGGGAACGCCAGGCGTCTCGCGATGCGGAAAGATCCGAAAGCACGGCTCGGAACAAGCTGCCATGAAAAATCTGCAAGAAAGGCAAGCAGGGGCGAATGGAATGTAGAAAATCGATGGCTGACACAGCATTGCCGCCGTAGTCCATTGCATCATCCACAAAGACCCAGGTGCTCCTCCTCTGATTCAGCACCGTGCGAAGTGAACGAGCCACCGGCACTGCCAAGGGAATTGGATTTGAAGCCGAAAGGCGGGAGGCCTCCAGTCCAGCCACCAGAGAGATGAGGTTGGGTGAGTTGGGTGCGTGGACCGGAAAGCGAGACTTCTCTGCACTGCCTAGCAGCCTTAAGCACAAGCTCGGCTTGCCCAGTCGGCACAATGCACGCAAAGCATCATTGCAAAACGTCCTCCTTGCAAAAAGGTCCACAGCTACCTGCCAATCCACCAGTGGTGCTGTCTGGAGCTGGGCGGCACGTTCCCACTGCCGCGCACGGTTACAAGCCCAAGCTGCTCCATGCAAAATCCAGCTGTTAGCCTGCAAACTACTCCTGCGCATCAGCGCGAGAACCGCTAAGACTTGCCGCCACAGCCGCACGCGGCCGCAGGCATTGACAGCAGCTCCAAAACTTGCAGAGCTTGGTGCTAGCCTGTGCTGCTTTATCAAAGGCAGAATAGCCATTGCGATTTGCCACTGCCTGGCCTGACCGCAAACACTCAGAGATGCATTGATGGCAACAGTAGATAGCTCTACCTCGTGCCTGCTCATGTTGACAAGGATGTGGAGTGCACGCTGCCACTGTTTTGCGCGACCGCAAGCGCCAAGAACTGATGTGAAAAGAAAGATGTTCGGCTGCAGAGGCTGTCCCATCAAATGCACGGCTCTCTCCCACTCAGCATGGATCTCACATGCACTGGCAGCAGCTGCGAAACTTATAGCATCTGGCTGGAGCCTGTCAACTTGCATCCGTCTCAGGAGGCTGCGCGATGCTCCTTCCACGGGGGCACAAGCGGATATTGCAGTGTTAAATGACACCACATCCACCAGTCTCTTTGCTGCCATCCTTTCCAAAATACAAATTGTCATCTGCCAGTTCTGTGAACGTCTGCAGCCATCCATCACGATGTTGTAGGCAGCACCCGCCGCAGGCACTTGTGCCACCACGCTCTCCAGTGCAGCCAGCGCTCGCGCCCAAGCAAAGGTTTTGCCCAAGCTATGCACCGTAAGGGAGGACCTCTGTTTACGCATATTCCCAACAACAGCCTGGAAAAGAAGCGGTCCGCTCCTGCAATGCATCCCATGGCTGCAAAGCCTGGCGAGCTGCCAACTAACTGGAAAGCGGGGGCCGCTGACTCCAGCAGCAGCAGCAGCAAGCCATAGCAGGCCTGCGCTCCTTGCACTGGCTGTGTAGCACACAAATGTCGACTCTATTCACAGCTGTGTTGCCCACATGTTCGCGTAAGCGATTGCATTCGATGCAAATAATGTGCTACACGCGTCTAAGTGTCCAACTGTTCAAGAATTAAGAAAACGGGCTGTTCGAGTCCTCGAATGGGCGCAATACCCGGACTTGCTGCATGTTGCTATGTTGTGGTTCATCACCGGCCCATCCAGCGGCGTGGTGACAGCCTGTCATGTTTTCGTTTCTTTCTTTCCGAATGTCTGCCCGGGCCTTATCAGTCTGCTTCCTGTAAGGCTGTTTTCTCACGAGTTTGCTTTTTCGGGGACGCTAGCCCTGCAGACCCGGTTGCACTTCGAAGCCGCGCGTGTGCTCTCGCGTAGCATCGCCTTCAGAAGAAAGTGGTGACATTGTGGTCTTGAAACATGTTGGCTCTGCATGGACCTCAATCGATTGCCCTGGTTCGTTGGACGTCTAGTCGAGATGGTGGGTCGGGCAGTTGGAGCAAACGACAGGCTTGGATCTCAACGGGCCTCAGAAGCAAATCTCTCGAGAAACCAAAGTCGGGGTCGTGGGGACGTAGGCGCGGGGTCAGGGGATGAAAGATATCCCCTTCATGATCCACATCACTGTCGACACAGTCGTCTTAGGGTGTCCCCGTTCTTGAACAAGCCTGAGCCTTGGACTCGCGCGTGCATCAGAGCCAAATGCTTTGTAGAGCGCTTAGTTGCCTCGCCCACACCCTGTCCCTCGTGCTGAAAACGCACGAAAAAAGCGCGACCAAACAAAGATATGACTAACCCAGCTACCAGCGAAGATGACAAGGCACTTTCGTCCCATAGCCCACCCCGTCACAACCTCATCCTTGACCAGATCTCCCCTTCTGACCCACTCTGCCATTTGAGGCTTTGGCCCGACGCATGCTTTGCCTTTTGCGCTGCCCCAGACTGCCAGGCCCAACCCACTTTATCGCTTACCTGCAATACCACAAGTTGCGCTTGTCAGGCTTGTCAGGGAAACGGCATGAATCTGCGGTCTGGTGGCTGGCGCTGCAG